AACTAAATGCAACTGCAGAGTAATTAAAGATAACTACAGATTACTGTATAACTGAAGGTAAGTTAACTGCTGAGTAACTAAAGGTAATTACAGATTAACAAAAGGTAACTGCAGCGTATTAAAGGTGACTGCTGAGGAATTAAAGTGAATGCAGAGAAACTAAAAGTAACTGCAGGGTACCTAAAGGTGACTGCTGAGTAACTAAAGGTAAATACAGATTAACTAAAGATAACTGCAGAGTCAGCAAAGGTAACTGAGTAACTAAAGTTAACTACCGAGTAACTAAAGGCAACTGCTGAATAACTGAAGGTAACTGCAGAGTAACTGAAGACAACTGCTGAGTAACAAAAAGTAGCTACAGGGTAACTAAAGTTAACTCAGATTACTGAGTAACTGAAGGTAACTTAAGTTAACTGCTGAGTAACTAAAGGTAATTACAGATAAACAAATGATAACTGTAGTGTAACTGAAGGTGACTGCAGAGTAAATAAAGGTAACTAAAGATTAACTAAAGGTAAGTGGCTTTAAACATCTGTTGAGGTCCTGGGAAAAACCATTGCAGACATGTTGTTTTTAATTTTCTACATCGCCGTACGACTTAGCTGTTTTTTTGTTTGTTTGTTTTTTACATTATCTTTTAAATCCCGTTTTATTTTCACTTGTTAAACATAAAATAAAATAAAAATTCTCAATTTGTATGCCTCTTTTCAAAAAGAGAAAAGAGTCTTTTGTGATTGTCTATTGTTCGTTGTTGTCCACTGTCTTCATCACTCTTTGTTAAAATCAGGTGTCTCTTGTAAATGAGTCCCAGAGGCTCAATGTGATTAACCTGTATAAATAAAGGTTGAATGAAAACTACAGTGTAACTAAAGGTAACTGCTGAGTAACTAAATGCAACTGAATAACTGAAGGTAACTGCTGAGTAACTAAAGGCAACTGCTGAATAACTGAAGGTAACTACAGAGTAACTAAAGGCAAATGCTGAGTACCTATAAGATAACTACAGGGTAACTAAAGGTAACTACAGACTAACTAAAGATAACTGCTGAAGAGCTAAAGGTAACTACAGGGTAACTAAAGGTAACTGCTAACTAACTAAATGTAACTGCTAAGTAACTAAAGGAAATTATTGATTAACTGCAGGGTAACTAAACGTGACTGCTGAGTAACTAAAAGAAACCACAGAGTAACTAAAGGTAATTACAGATTAACTAAAGGTGATGCTGGGTAACTAAAAGTAACCAAACAGTAACTAAAGGTGAATGCTGTGTAACTGAAGGTAACTACAGGGTAACTAAAGGAAACTGCTGCGTAACTACAAGGTGACCAAAGGTAACTACAGATTAAAGGTAGCTGCAGAGTAAAGGTGACTGCAGGATCACTAAAGGTAACTGGAGGGTGCTTTTAAGGTGATTGTTGTGACTAAATGTAACTACAGAGTAACTAAAGGTAACTACATATTAACTAAAAGTAACTGCACTAAAGTAAGAGTAACTGAAGTTAATTGTAGTGTTACTAAAGGAAACAATTGAGTAACTAAAGGTAAGTATATGTTAAAAGGGTAATTAAATGTAACTACAGATCAGTGAGGTAGGAGGGTGCAGAACTGTTCAGTGATTTATAGACATACAAAAGTATTTTGAACTGGATACGAAAGTGAACTGGTAGCCAGTGCAGGGAGGCCAAAACAGGTGTAATGTGCTCTCTTTTACCTGAAGTGGTTAAAAATCGGGCTGCTGCATTTTGGACCAGTTGCAGTCGTGCAATGGAGGTCTGACTGATACCAAACAGGAGTGAGTTGCAGTAATGGAGCCTGGATGTTATGAATGCATGTATTACTGTCTCCAGATTATTTTTGGACAATATTGGCTTCAGCTGCCTCAGCTGGAAAAAACAGGATTTAAAAATCATGTTTACATGACTGTTGGGTCCATTATCACACCCAGATT